TGTAATGCCTATTCTTCTAATTTTTCTATTTATTTATTATTATTAATGCTTAATGTTATTTTAGCTTAATGTTACTATGGTTAGAGAAAAGGACGTATGCATGATTCCAGGCTTTTGGAATTTGTTGAGATTTTCCTTTTGACTCAGTATGCATATACATACGGAAAAATGGGTGAATTCTGTCATGGTTGGTTTTTTTTTTTCCCTGCCTGTTAGGTCAAGTTTATTTTTTGGCTGCTGGCCAGTATGGGGATCCAAACCCTTGACCTTGGTGTTATGACATCACACACTAACCAACTGAGCTAACAACGGGCCAAGCTTAGGTCAAGTTTGTTAGTCTTCTTGATAGAGATGGATGAATGGATGGATGGATAGATGTATATCTTCTCTGTCTGTGCTGATTATTTTTTTGTCTGTTTTATCAGATTTTGATATGTGTGTTTAAATTGCCCTCTTTGGTAAAGTTGTAATTTCATCATATTTTGCTTTTATGTATTTTGAGTGTTAGTTATTAGATGTATAGAAAATTTAGGTTGTTTATCCCTTGGTTTATTGTAATTTCTATCATTATAGTGTGACTTTAAAAAATCTCCAGTAATGCTTTTTGCTCAAAGCCTGTTTTGTCTCATATTAATATAGCTATGCCAGCATTCTTTGGGTTAGATAGGACTGATATATCTGTTTTTATTCTCTTTTTCAGCCTTTCTATAACTTTATGTCTCTTCATATTGTTTATTTAAAAATTTCTGTCTTATAGTCATGTTCTCTTAACTATAGTATTTAGTCTATTTATATTTATTGTTATTATTGGCATAGTTGTAGTGATAGCCACCATATTATTTCGTGCTATTTGTTCCATCCATTTTGTATTTGTTTTTTTCTTCATATCCCCTTTTTTCATTGTGTTTTTCTAATTCCTCTTATTTTAGTGGTTATCCTCTTGCTCTTGTTTTTGAAATATGTTTTTTCTGTGAATACAATTGTAGGTTGACACTACTTTTCTATTAACAATTTAAAATACTGTTTGACTGTCTTTTGGCTGCAGTTGTTGC